GGAGCACTGGGTGTTATGCACAAACAATGAATCATGGAACACTTCATCTAAAACTAATGATGTAATGTATGGGGATTAACATAAGAATAAAAAAAAAAAAGTCCTTGGCTGTGCACGTGGCCAAAAAAACAAAACAAAACCAAACCCACAAATAAACAAGCTTTTGCACTGAGCTCCAGACACGCATATCCACGGTCCCCTCCTCATCTCCCTTTGAGGTCTGAAGGGCATCTCTCCCCTAACTGGACCACTTCCACTCATCTCTGACTCTTCTTCAAACGTGCTCCTCATCCCCCCTGCTCCTCCCTGTCTCAGGGAGCACCACATGCATCCCTACGGCTGCTCAGGCCAGCATCCTTGACTTCCGTCTTCCACTCATTAGCACTCATTAATAGCACTCGTAATCCACTCCATAAGCAAAATCTGTCAGCTCTACCTCTAAATTAACTGGGAGACTCCTCCAATACCCCCACCGTGGTCCCATCCACCCTCATCTCCCTGAAAGAGCAGACACCTCCCAACTCCCTACTTCCGCCTCGCCCTCTACAGTATTGCCCCACGAGGCCGCTAGAGGGCGCGAGTTAACACCTAAATCAGTTCACGTCGGCCTCTGCTCAGAGAGCTCTAGGGACTTGGGCTCACTCAGGGTCAGAGTCCAAGTTCTTACCTTCACAAGGCCCCGCCCCTCCTGCTCTTGTCTCTGGCCCTCTCCTCTTCGCTCACCCTGCTTCGGCCCTACTGGCCTCCTCTCTGCTCCTCAAACACCTGGCCAGCTCCTGGCAGGTTGTGAAGCAAGGGTTACATCCTGAGAGAGCATGGCATACATCTTTCTGTCCCTGAATCCCCACAGCGACGAGGCAGGTAAGTGAAAGGTGCCCGTTGGGCGAGGGGAAACTGGTGCTCAGGTAGCTGGGGACGTTGCCAAGGTCACACTCCCCGTACACGGGAGCCCAATCCAGCTCTGAGCCTGGCACTGGATTTAAAGCAGCGAGCGAGCTAGGTAAGACTCCCTGGTCTTGTGAAGCTGATAGGTCAGGGGCAAGAGAAAACAAAAAATAAAAAGAAATAATAAGTAGAACGAGTCAATCCTACCATCTGGTAGAAGCTGTGTGTTAGCAGGTGCAGAGTGTTACGGAAGGAAGTAAAGCAATGAAGAGGGAAAGGGAGTGGGTAGGAGGGTATGGAGGTGGGGCAGTTTTAAATGGGGACCAGGGGAGGCCTCACTGGGGGTGACACCTGAATGGAGCAGAGGAAGCGAGGCAGGGGGATACCTGGGCAAGCGCATTCTGGCAGGCAGTGTCAAAGAGGCAGACAGGCACCAGATAATCACGCAAATGCCCACAGGGTGCCAAGGACTTACAGAGATGATCCCATTTTAATCTTTACAATAACCCTTTGAGATTGGTACTTCTACTCTCCCCACCTGACAGATAAGGAAACCGAGGCCCAGGAAGGGGTCTCCCTTGTTTCCCACTCATAACTGTCAGTGTATATCAGAATGGTTTAAGCGTCTGCACTGATTACCTACTGGTGGACAGTAGGTGCTCAATAAACACAAAACACATGAATGATTGGGCTGGGAGAATATTTGTCATGTCTGAAAAGAAGCCGAAGAAGCTGCCCCCCCCACCACACAGACACAAGTTACAATTGGGTAACGGGAGGCCCAGAGAAGCTTTCGGGCAGCTCACCCAGCCCCCGTGTGCCTGGATCCAGGGCCCAAAGCTGTGCACGTGCTCCACACTGAGTCCGGCCAGGGTGCCCCCCAGCCGGGCCACGCGGCGGCTCAGCTCCATGGCCAGGGCCAGACGGGCCAGGGGCTCCGGGGAAGGCGGCGGGGGCCCAGGGCAGGGCAAGTTGGGGCGTGGGCGGCTGGCAAGAGGGCTGTCCTCCCGGCTGGAGAAGAGCTCCACTAGGCGGGCGAAGGAGCCCGCGGAGAGGCGGGCCAGCTTTCTGCGCAGGGCGGGGTCCGAGGCCAGCTGTGGGGTGGGAAGAGAAGAGGCTGGGTCGGCCTCCCCCACGCCTCCGTAGCCAGCCAATAGGAGGCTAGGAGGCGTGGCTTCCTGGTGGAAGCAGTCCTGACACTGAGGCTCAAAGCCACGCCCCACCCATCACACCAGCCAATCATAAACCAGAATCTGTGGTCTCTGCCAAACTATTCCTGGACAGGTGGCCGACAGCCAATGAGGGCCAAGCCCTAATTAGCTGAGTTCCAGAATACAGATCTTATAGCCACGCCCCCTACAGGTTCCCTGAGAGCCTCCGAGACCAGGCCAGTGCCTACAACAACCTTGCCTTCCACCGTACAATTGATATTATAGGATCATACACTTTGCCCAAGCTTCTGAGCCAATCCAGTTCCAGGACCGAGTCATAGGCCAGACCTTCACCGGCAGTTCATTTCCCCCAACATTCTAAGGCATACCCCTATATAGTTAACCAGGGCTTCAGATTTTAGGCAGCCCTCTCCAAACCAAACCCCCGCCCACCACCTTACAGTCCCTGATTCCTCAACTGGTCCCAGTCAGTTTCCCAGATCATGTTTTGGGTGGCCACACCGCTTGTCTTTAGGCCACGCCCCTCTTACGGTGACTGCAAGCCAGGGTTTAAGGTACTACCCTGACCATAACTCTGTGTTCAACCTGTAGCGGAGAAGTTTAGCACGTCTGACTCCATACTGCTTCTATTTCCCTTCCTGCTGGGACCTATAGTTTAGAAACTTCTGCTTAGCCCTGCACGTAGGCATGTGACAGCTAAGATTCTCAAAAACGGCTTTTTTACCGGAAATCTACCTCACCAGAGGAGATAAGGAAGTACTTACAGAAATGACTATGCTCTATGTAAAATTTATAGGAACGAGACATGACCTGTACACAAAGATCAAGTGACCAGGGATAGGGCGCCGGGGTGGTTCAGTCGGTTAAGTGTCTGCCTTCCGCTCAGGTCATGATCTCAGGGTCCTGGGATCAAGCCCCGTATCAGGCTGCCCGCTGAGCCTGGAGTCTGCTTCTCCCTCTCCCTTCCCCCCTGCTCGTGCTCTCTGTTTCTCTCCCTCAAATAAATAAAATCTCTAATAAATAAATAAAACTTCTCTATTTTATTTTTTAAGAGGTTTTATTTATTTATTTGACAGAAAGAGAGAGAGCGAGCACAAGCAGGGGGAGCAGCAGACGGAGGGAGAGGGAGAAGCAGACTCCCTGAGCAGGGAGCCCTAAGCAGGGGCTTGGTCCCAGGACCCCGGGATCATGACCTGAGCCGAAGGCAGACACTTAACGACTGAGCCACCCAGGTGCCCCAAAACCTCTTAAAAACAAACAAACAAACAAAAGTGACCAAGGACAAAAGAAGTTACACAACCTTCCTCTGTTGTCTACAGACGTCAGTCACTTTTTGACTCCAATCCCCTCCCCCTTCTCCCATTCCTAACATAAAAGAAGCTCAAATCTCATGCTGGGGGAGATGGTTCTTTGAGACGATTGTCTGCCATCTCTTGTCTGCCATTTCTTGTCTGCCATCTCTTCGGTGTGCTGGCTTTCCAAATAAAGTTGCTTTCCTTACCCCAACATCTTGCCTCTCGGCTCATTGGCCTGTGATGCTGGGAGCAGAATGAGCTTGGACCCCGTTACAAACCCTTCATAGAAGCCGAGTCCCACCCTCTCCTCACCTGACCATCTAATGAGAATGCAGATCCAGGTTCTGATCCCAGTGCCCGACAATCCGCAATCCCTATCCTAGCTAAGGGATGGAACAGACTGCCTGTCACCTTCTGATTGATGACTTCTGCCTCTTCCTCCAGCAAGGCCACCAGCTTCCGCAGTAGGGCTTCCTTCTCTGTGGGTGGGGCTCCCTGTAACTCTGGGGGGCAGAAGAGAATTCAGCTGGGGGCAGAACCCTGCCCACCCTTCTGCCCTCATCCTTCTCCGGGGCCCCTCGGTACCTCACCTGGGCTAGGTGGGGCTCTCAGTTGCTCTTGGACCAGCTGTTCCAGCCGCTGGGCCACCAGAGCATAGAAGTCTGGAGTAGCTGGGCCTTGGGTGAAAAGAGCCAATGATGGGTCTCCGGGACATTGGGAAGTTATGGATTGTCCCCTTGTCACAACCACCTTGCCAGGTAGCAATGATTTCCATTTCATAATGGGGCCCAGTGAGCACACTTGGTAAAAGGCCTTGATACTTTCCATTTTATTGTGTCCCTCAAACTAGAGTTAGAATGTTAGAGCTGAAATAGACCTTGAAGATGATCCTATCCAAGAAAGGCAAACACAGGGCACTCCAACTACTAACACTCTATCCCTTGCTGGTTTCAGGCGTCATCAACTGATCACAGAACTCTTCTCCCCAGCTGTGAAATCCTTTTCAAGCTGGCACTCCCGGTAGCCATTACTAGTCTATCAAGGCTCATATATGAGAGGAAGCCTTTGGGTTACTCTTGATCAAGTCCAAGGACACCCCCCCACACACACACATGCACACATTCCTACTTTGCTTCTGGAGAAATATAGGAGCAAGAAAGAAAAGGAGTTTCCAGAGTCATGTAACCAAACAGCCAGGGAGCTGTGACTGAAAACCAGATCTCCTGCCTCCCTACTGGGGGGTACTGGTAGCCACAAAGTCCCAGGGGTAGGGAAGCATGCATGGGAGGAGAGAGATAACAAACAGAAAGGGACCAAAAGCCCCCCTGTGAAGCCAGCTTACAGAACTGACAGCAATGTAACTGGGGGTGGGGGGAGCAGAGAATGGTGAGGGTAGTCCACACTCGGCTCCCCTCTTAGCTGAGTGATCTTGGGCTAGCTCCTTATCCTTTCTATGCTTTTAAGAATCAAAGCGTCTTAGGGCGCCTGGGTGGCTCAGTTGGTTAAGCGACTGCCTTCGGCTCAGGTCATGATCCTGGAGTCCGGGGATCGAGTCCCCGCATCGGGCTCCCTGCTCGGCAGGGAGTCTGCTTCTCCCTCTGACCCTCCCCCCTCTCATGTGCTCTCTCTCTCTCATTCTCTCTGTCTCAAATAAATAAAAATCTTTAAAAAAAAAAAAAAAAGAATCAAAGCGTCTTAAAAAAAAAAAAAGAATCAAAGCTTTGGCCCTGTAAGTTCATGGGTGATCTAGGGAAATCTCTTACCAGGCTCTGAAACATAGCATGGGCGGAGGGGCAGGGAGCAAGGCCGAGGGGATTCAGGGGGAACTGCTCCTCGCCCCAGGGGGCAGGGAAGACATCTTCGAAGGCGGCTCAGGAAATCTGTTGGCTCCTCCTGGGCAGGACTCCTGGGGAAGGGGACCTCAGAGAGTGACGCCAGAGGCCCCTTTGCAAGCAGCCCCTTTTTCCTCCCACTGAGGAGGGCCTCTCGCTGCAACCCCAGGGATGAGGAAAAGAGCCAGATATAAAGAGAGGGGAACGCAGACAGACTGAGACCAGGCATGAGAGTTAGAGAGGGCCCTACCCCAGATGCAGGCCCCTGAGGGAGGAGGGCAACCCCTCTTACCTGGGTGGGGTTGGAATGGGGGACCCAGCAGGCTCACCTCGCCTAAAGAAGGCAGCTAAGACTCTCACCGTGTCCTCCCGGAGGCCCAGCTCTTCCGAGCCTGCCATGGGGCACCTGTGAAAGGAGCCGGAGGATGGACTCCAGGGTTGAATTGAGGTGGAGGATTGGGGCCCAAATGCCTAGTCCCTGAATAAGGAGGGGGCCAGGAACCGTGAGTCCCCAAGGGAAGAAAGGGCTGATAGTCTGAACTCCTAAATCCTTTAGGGGAGTTAGGGTCTGGGAACCCAGACTCTTGAGTCCTCAGAGGGAGAAGAGGGATGAGGACGAAGACTCCTTGATCCTTGGAGAGGAAGAGGCTGGGGACCCGGATTCCGGGGTCTAAGGGAGAAAGGAACTGGGGGTTGGACTCGAGTTTTCGGAGAAGAGGGTTGGGGGGATCTGAATTCTTGAGTCTGAGAGAGAAGGGGACTTGCGGCTCCGACTTCTGGATTCTGAAGGCATATGCCAAGCTGCTCAAGCTCTTAGAGAATCGGAAACTACGAATCCCAGCAGGCTTCACGGCAAACCTTCCCCTCGGTCCGCACTAGCTAGCCGCGCAGCCGGCTTGGGAGGTGTAGTTCCCTTATCTGACCAAGGCTGGAGTCTTGGGGACACGGGGCGCATGGATGTCGGGGAAGCGGGACTGAGGTGCCGGCCCCGAGATCCCGGCCTCTTCCCTTCTCACCCCAGCCCTCCCAAAAGCCCGGCTTACCTGGGGTCGGAGCCGCCACCCCCTCCTCCTTCACTAAATTTGCAAAAACTTTTCTTAGAACTCTCCCGCGCCTGCGCACTGGTCCGAGTTGGTGACGGCCCTACTGTGGAGGGGCGGGGCGCCGGATGCCCATCTAATTTGCATGTGACGTTCCCAGCATGCCGTTGGCCGGAAGGCCTAAAAAGGGCATGCGGGGAGGGCGTCCGGGCTCTCGGTGCCGCCTCTTTAGCTGTGGAGTTTGTCAACCCACCGCAGATAAAGTTGTTTTTATTTCGTGAAATCGATAGAAAAGAAAACCGCATTGCTCTGAAGCTCAGCTGACAGGAAGGAGGGTGTGCAGCTGCAAGTTCGAGAGCTATCGGACCCCAAAAGGCAGGGGTGGGTCCTAGCACCCTGCGCGTCCCGACCCTCTACGTAGGTAACAGGGAGGATCTGGGGAATTGGTGGCGTCCGGGCCGAGAAGCGCGAGAAAGAAAGGGTCTGCCCTGAGTCCAGAGAGGCACTGTGTACTCTAGGGAAAGGAAAGCAACGAGGGGAAAAAGTGAAGCAATGGCCGGTGCTGGAGGTCGGCTGTAAAAAAAACCCAGGAAAAGTAGCGGGGAGTGGGGGGAGGGCAGGAGTCTGCACTGGGGGATCTAAGGGAGAGAAGAGTGGACCCTGAAAATGGGAGGCAGTCCACTCTATAAAGTGTGTGTGTGTGTGTGCGCGCGCGCGCCCTACACAAAAGGCAGGCTGTTGGGGGGGAATGGTGGATGGGACGGTCTACGGTAGAAATGGGTGAGGGGCTTTTCTGTGGGGGAATTGTAGAAGGGGTCTACAACACGGATAAGTGCGGGAGGTGGAGATCTACAAGTGAATAACGTATGCCCTGAAATAACTAGGGGAGGCTCTACCTTGGAAGTGAAGGTAACTGCATTGGGTGATGTGGGGGAGGGGAGAGGAGAAAAGGGTTTACAACGGAAGAAGGAAGGATCTACACTGGCGGAATTGGGAAGGTTAGAGGGTCTGCACAGAAGTAGGTGGGGAAAGAAGGGGGGTCTCAAATGCATTGGGGAGGAAGTCCTCGATGAATTGGGGGAGCCTGTCTGGAGGATGAAAAGAGGAGGTGTCCTGTTTTATACCCCAGGAAAACATAAGTGAGGGACATTGCACCGCGTCCCCAAGAGAGGAAGGTCTGGGTGCGGAACCCTCGGGCCGGGTGGGCCTATGAAGCCATCCGCGCCCACGAACTGCCCTCTAAGCGCAGGCCGGACCATGGGAACCCCAAAGCCACGGATCTTGCCCTGGCTGGTGTCGCAGCTGGACCTGGGGCAGCTGGAGGGGGTAGCCTGGCTGGACGAGAACCGCACGCGCTTCCGCATCCCCTGGAAGCACGGCTTGCGGCAGGATGCCCAGCAGGAGGACTTCGGCATCTTCCAGGTGCGTGAGCTTCCCGGACGCGGGGAACCCTGAGTTAACAGCCGGGAGGGGTGGACTTGCAGGGGGCGGAGCCGAGAAAGCCGGGTTAGCACGCGTGCTGTTGGCAGGCGGTGACGCCGGCAGGTGGAGGTGAGTGGAGTTAGGACAAGACTGGTCAGGGTTAGTAGGAACAGCCGACTGGTGTCGGATAGCAGGCAAGGTTGGAGCGGCCGGGTTCCGGAAAAAGAACCGGAAAAGCGGGGTTAGAACTCGAAAGAAATGCAAACTGGGCATTCTGGGCTCGCAGGGGGCGGGTCTCTTGGTCCTAGAATTCTGGGGGCGGGTCTCAGAACCTTAGAGGCGAGTCGTGGCCCCGAAGCTGAGGTGATTTCTCACGAAATTAGGATACAGCAGTGGTGGTAACCCGAGTTAGAGTGCGAGGGGGCGGGGTTACTACAGAAGGTGTCCTGGGGCAGGTTGGTAGCAGAGTTAGACACCCAGTAGGACCTGGAAGGCTGACTTATAAAGCAAAGCTTTTCAAAAGGTGAAGATAGGGGGCCTTAGGATGCAGAGAAGCCAAGAGTTTGGGGATGGATCCGTGCCGAGTTAGAACACGCCAGGGGAGCGAACCCTTGGGGCGCGGTCTTAGTCATCCTCCTCACTATCCTGGTACCCACTGCATCCCCAGGCGTGGGCCGAGGCCAGCGGTGCCTACACTCCTGGAAAGGATAAACCTGATCTGCCCACCTGGAAGAGGAATTTCCGATCCGCCCTGAACCGGAAGGAGGGGTTGCGTTTAGCCGATGATCGGAGCAAGGACCCCCAGGACCCGCACAAGGTCTATGAGTTTGTGATCTCAGGTGTGCCAGAAGTGAGGCTTCACATGGAGGGATGGGATTTTGAGCGTCCCCAACACCCTGCTCCACTCACCACCTTCCTCGACAGGAGCTGGGAACTTCCCTGAGTCGGACACCTCTCCGGACGGCAATGGCAGATGCAGTACCTTGGATACCCAGGTAAGAATGCACCCCAACCCTCCTGCCCTCAGTCTGACCCATCTTCTCTCTGTGTCCCCACGGCCTTGTTCAGGCATCCCCCTCTGCCCCTGGACCATCACCCCAGCCTTCTTCCTGAGCCTCCATCCTCTCCCCTGCAGGCTGTCCCCCAACCGATCTAGAGCTGACCCTGACCCTCCCCTGCTCATAGCCCTTCCATGGCTTCCAGCGTCCTCAGGAGAAAGTTCAGAACTTTCACCAGGCGTTTAGTACTCTAAGACACCTTCCCAGAATTTCATAGCCTCCGTTGCTATTTAGAGTACCTTTAGCCTCTTGGGAACCCTGAACCACCCTACCCTTGATCTTGCTGATGTCTGTGCCAGGGCAAGTCCCCTCTGAAATTGTGTCCAGCCTTCTCTGCCCAGGTCTTGCTTGCACAAGGCCAGATCCTTGGGCTGGAATTAGCTGCTCCCCTGGGGCCAACAGTAGCACTCAGCATATACAAGAGCATATATTTTGCTGTCTGTGCCCATGGTTGTCTCCAGACCCCCCATCCCCCCTTACAGGAAGCCCCTTGAGGGCAAAGCTCAGGTCTGACTCCTCCCTGGGTCCCAAGGCCTTGGTCTACATGAAGTCTCTAGAAAAGGCTATGGAAATGTCCAGATCCTATTCTTTTTTTCTTCTTTCCAGGAAGATATACTAGAGTTACTGGGTGAAATGGTCTTGGCCCCATTCCCAGATGGGGGCCCCTCGAGCCTGGCTTTGGTCCCTGAGCAGACCCCTCCATTCTTGCTGAGCCCCACCATAGACATCCCTGCTCCCTGCCCAAACTCGGAGCCCCCTGAAAACCCACTGAGGCAGCTCTTGTTGCCTGAGGAAGGTGAGTGCCAGCTGTGGGGTGGGAGGTGCTGGGGCGCTGTGCCCCCTAATGCTCTCTCAATCTTGCTCCCCCTTCATGTCACTTCTGCCACTGCTCAGAGTGGGAGTTCGAGGTGACTGCCTTCTACCGGGGCCGCCAAGTCTTCCAGCAGACTGTCTTCTGCCCGAGGGGCCTACGGCTGGTAGCATCAGAAGGAGGGGACAGGACGCTGCCCGGACAGCCAATAATACTGCCAGACCCTGGGGTGTCGCTAACAGACAGGGGCGTGATGGGCTACGTGAGGCGTGTGCTGAGCTACCTGGGCGGGGGACTAGCTCTGTGCAGGGCAGGACAGCGGCTCTGGGCCCGGAGGCTGGGGCACTGCCACACATACTGGGCCTTGGGCGAGGAGCTCCTCCCTGACAGCAGTCATGGACCCAGCGGCGAGGTCCCCAAGGATGAGGAAGGAGACGTGTTCGACCTGAGGCCCTTCATGTCAGGTGAGTGAGGCAAGGCCTTATAGCTCTGCTGTGGGAAGAGTAGGTCACGGTCACTGGGGGCGCCTGGGGGGCTCAGGAGGTTAAGTGTTTGACTTTTTCTTTTTTATTCATGTGACAGAGAGAGAGATAGAGAGAGAGGGAATATGAGCAGGGGAGAGAGGCAGAGGGAGAGGGAGAAGCAAACTCCTCGCTGAGCCAGGAGCCTGATATGGGGCTCGATCCGAGGACCCTGAGATC